CCCACAACCCCACCCACCCCCTCACTCCCCCACCCAGCAGCAGCCACTTACCTGCCTACGGGCCTGAGACTTGTAACTTCCTGCCAGCTTCCCCACTGACTTTGGTTGTGGGAAGCTGGCATGAAGTCACCTTGCCTAATGACTTTGGAATTCAGTTAATGACAGCAACCGGGACTGCAAGGATTACTGTCACTAAGTGGTGCGGTTGCGCATTACGAGCGCATCACTTAGCAAAGGAAATTCCAGTCCCAATTCTTGTTGTGAGTTGAGGACTACCTGTACTCACTTGTTCTTCAGTTGTGTATTTAAAATGTCTTTGTACTATGGAATTCTTGGTGCTCTCTGAGCTGGGTTGTTTGCTTGTAGATGTTTCATTACCCAACTAGGTAACTTCATTAGTACCTTAACTAATTAATTGGAAATAAATGCTACACAAAACATTCCTTTTTCAGGTATGATACTATATATTTACAAAGTTTTGCTCATTATTTTGATTACTATTCTAGTTGGAGTCTGAAATTTTAACCAGAATATGGGGATAAATATCTATTAGTTATATCAGCTCACCCCACTCGGTCCGGCAGAAGGGGCAGGTTGCGGACCCCACCAGTCAAGGAATTTCAGCTGGCAGGATCTAGGAAAAGGTCCTTTTCTGCCATGGCTCCTGCCCTGTGGAACAACCTTCCACCTGAGGCGCAGTCCGCCCCCACTCTCATGGCCTTCCAGAAGACTGAAATCTTGGCTATGTCAGATGGCCTGGGGGCCCAATGGGGGCCCGCATTGTTGGAATTGGCTGGTGGGTTAATCTATTCTGCCCCCCCGCCATTTTGAATTATATATAGTCTTTTTATATAATATTATTTTTTAGCTAATTTAATATGGATATTTATATTTTTACTGTTTTTAATGCTTGGTTTTAATTGTGAGCCGCCCAGAGTCACCCTCTGGGGGAGATGGGCAGCATATAAATTTAATAAATAAATAAATACATTTCATAATTATCAAATCTGGAAATTTTACAAAACAAGACTAACTTTGAGCCCAATTACCTAGTTGTTCCTTTTCTTGATCTGCATTCTTGATCTTCTTTTTGTTAGTTACAAGTGCAGAGTCAACAGAAGGAAGTGGACAACCTGCAGGAGACAATTAAAGGCAAAGCAAAGCATCTGGAGCAGTTGAAGGAAGAGAATTGTAAATTAAATGCCACCTTGCTTACACAGGTAATTGTGCTGCTTTTTTTTTTTTTGCCTTATAGTTTTTAAACTATAAATACTTTAAGTTTTGATTCTTCACTAGCAAAAAACCATAGTTTATTAATCTAATGAAGATATGGGGTATTACATTCACAGTTCAAGGCTGCCACTACTATTAAGGCTATTAGGCAGAAGAACAGTTACTTCTAAGGAATACAGCACATACTGTAGTCCTATTATCTGTTTATTTTAGGGGAGTTTCTTACAAACTTAGTAGTCACTTTAAAGGGAAGGTTTATAGCAGCCAGCAAGAGTTTGTCTACCAGGGATTCAAACTCGCCACCCACTTATCATTTTCTGATGTGCCCAACAATATTTTGTAGACAAGACTATGTAGATGAATAGGCTGTGCCATGGGAAGGGCTCCAGGAAGAGGAGCAGCATGGCAGAGTGGCCTTTCTTAGACTAACCTGGCAGAGTTCCTAGCAATGGAGTAGTTGGCATTCTGATTTCTCTCATGCTGAGCAGCACAAATTTCAGGAACTCTTGCCTGCTCTGGCTCTTTGCTGTGGGTGCTGCTGGTAAGGAGGTACCAGGCATGGAGATGAGGCTTAGCCAGATGAGATGGGCTGGGAATCTGGGACTGCTTGGGGGAGGAAAGGAGACAGTGACCAGGGAGAAGGGTTCGGACTCACAGTTCTACCACAAGGGTCCTTCTGCTGGGTCAGGAGTGGGAAGGACAGTAAGCAAACAAGATCTCTCTGCTAAGGGAAGGGGGCAAAGAAGTAAACAGGGAAAAAAGAAAAGGAAGAAGGATCTATTTGCTTAACAATAAGAGAGGAGAATAATATAAGCAGGACTTGGGCAGCTTTTAGTGGGATGAATGTCCTAGGTTATATCATCCTAGATATGATTTTCAATTAGTCCTCATACAGCACCTATGATAATTTGAGTTTGAGGCTCTCGGTCTGTCCGTTATCATTCTTTGCTTCGGTGCCTGATCAAGAAGAAATGGGAATATTCTAAGGCAGAACTGTGTTCTGTTGGGGTCCAAATTTGGGGGATAATCCACATACTTTGACTTTCTCTGTATATGCTGTTCTTTTATTCTCTCCTCCCCCTCCCCCCATTCTTGTGGAGAAGAACCTTTAATGAACTTCTTGCTCCAATTTTCGGCAGAAATATTCCTGTATAGCTGTGTCATTCTGTTATTTGCACTACGTTGAAGCTTGTCCTAACTTCTTTGTGTTCCATTTCCCTTGACTCAGTTTTTAAAAAGTATCTGTCCATCCATCCACCTGTGCATATATAAAGATCTTTCCTCTCGTACCCATGTGCCTGTTCAGTTATTTTATAAGCAGTCCTACTATTACAGAGGGTCAATGCGTATTTTAGAGTGGACCAATTTCAGCGTCTCCCTGCTGCCCACTTCACCCATTTTATTTGTGCTGTAAAAAAGCAGCAAAGTCTCCTATCAATGGCTTAGAATTATGCAGAGATTATTTGATTAGGGCAACCAGTATGAATGCTATTATCCTTCTGGAAGTGCTGGCATGGTATAGTGATTAGAGTGTTGGATTTAGATTGGGGAGGCCTAATTTCAGTTCTCAGTCCTGAGGCTTACTGGAAGATCTTGTGCTCCTCATTATCTTTCAGCCTAACCTTACTCCACAGGGCTGCTGTAAGAATGAAATTGATGTTAACCCTGAGTTCCAGTTGAAGAAGTATGGAGTATGGGTTTGAAAAATAATGGACAGATGTTTCTTCATACCATTTGCCCTTTGGCTTCTAATTATGCTCCAGCTTTTCTCTTTCCTTAGCAAATGTTGGATAAAATCAAGGAGGAACAAACACTCGCACTTCAAATCCTGAAGGAGGAAAAGGAGGAAATAGAGCAAGAAAATCAGGTGCAGACTTTGTCTTGCGGGGAGTGGGGAGAGAACCTACTGTTGGATTGTTGTGTGTTGGGCAGTATTGTGCAGTTAGGGACAGTTAGAAGTTGCTTGGGACAGCTTTTTCCAACCTAGTAGCCTCCTTGTAGCTAAGAATTCTGGAAGTTTTAATCCCCAAACATCTCAAAGACAGATTGGGAAGGCAATGTACTGATAATGCCAAAATTCCTAGTTAAAAGCAGAGGAGAGCTATCTTCATATCCTATCTGTGGATCTCCCAAAAGTATCTTCCTGCCTGCCTTCAATGGGCAGGGCACCTGTGTTTTCAAGAGAGCTGTATTTGGGGAGAATATTATTAACTGTAAATATTACTGCCCTTGAAGGAAAGCTTGTACATAGCTGCTCATCTGTTTATCCTGTGAGGTAAGAAATGTTTTAAAACAAGGAAACTGTTATAACCTGAAAGAGTATGGTATTATCTTCCAACTTGTCTGAAAACAAGAATTACTGTTGAACAGTAATTCTCACATTGTAATTCCAGAAAGCACAATAGTAATTCACAAACTATACAATTTCCCTGCCACAATTTCAATATTTCTCTCTGATGCTACTAATTGGCCTATTCTGGTATTAAAAACCTATGTTTCAAACAGTTTTTCATAAAATGTGTGTTGATAGAACATTATGCTCTGTGAACAGTCTGCAAGTGTACTGCATGCATTCTTAAAAAATAATTCAACCTTGAGCACCAAGCCAAATCAGCTGCCATTACAGCATTGTGTATATATTGCTGTGCAGATCTTTTTAAGGTGATTTGACTCATTGTCTTGACCTGCACTGGTTCTTCGAGTAGGGGTTTCTTGGAAATGTTGTTTGTGGCTGCACAGAATTCCTCACCCAAGGTGCTGCAAAGCATAGGATTATTGGTCAGGGCAATGTTGTTGAATGACCTCTTCAGAGTTTTACACAGCTCCTGCAACTTCACTGAGTGAAGTGAAGGATGGCCAGGTAGAGGCCACTGCAGACTGCCGGTGGGATGAGCAGACAAAACACCTGGCACCTGCAGTCAACCATCAGGTAGCACAATCAGCCTAGTGGCCAAGTCTGCATCCAGTGCCTTCACTTGTAGAATGAAGCCTCCCAGCAAACTGCACTTACTAGCTAGGCCTATCCCAAATCCAGAGTCTGAAGCAGTGTTCTTCAGGCTTGGCACCTAGCTTGCCCTTGGATAATTCTCACACACTTTTTTTTTAGGAAGCACTATTTTGCTTGGTGTTCTGTGGCCTTGAAAAAAATTAAGACATTAGTTTGAACACGAGAACCAGATTAACAGCTTTCCCAGCCCACTTTTGCTTTTTCATAAAAGCTTTACACTCTGAATTGTCTTTCAAAAATACTTATTTTCTCATAGATTGATACAGATTTTCCAATCTTGGGCACTTCTATACCAGATGGATTTTATTCCCCAATCCCCCACAAAGCAGGCTGGAGTTGACCTGTGATTGTTCTCTATTCTGTAGATCTTGAACTGCTGAGAACACAGGGAACCCTATCAGCCAATCAGTGCTGAACAAAAGAGAGGTTAAAAAAAAAGGTTCCCTACCCTTGAGCTAACCCAGTTCCTGGACTAAGAAAAACCCCTATGTTGATTGAATGGTGGAACTGCCAATCAAAGGATGCAGGGTACCTCCTTTCAGGTTATTTTCTAGCAAGATAATAAAAGAAAACACTCCCATGACAAGGAGGGTATGTGACATCCTCACCACACAAAAGAGAAATAAAATCAGTTATTAGTGTCTGTACACATTTTCAATATGTGTTGTGTCCATTTGATAATTTGCAAACAAAACTAAGTGGTTGTTATAAGGGGAAGTTCCTTTAGTACAAAGTGCTATTCTATTGCATTTAAGAGTCGTGTGCAAACTGTAAAAGGTCCAGTGGCGTTCAGCACTTTTGTAGGCAGAGACTTTACTCATAGTTATAACCATGGTTGCATGTTGCTTCAGTGGCAAGTGCATACTAAATTTTACCTGTGTCCTAGGAATAGGACACTGATGCTATATGATGGGAGAGGAAAGAGAAAGTAATGTGAGCTTTGATGCCAGGAGATGGGGATCAGCAAAAGTTTCCAGTGATGGGTAAACAGCCTGCCTACAAGCTCTGCAGTATTGCAAGGGAGAGAGGCACCCCACTTTGATCAAGTTTCAAGTAAATCAGTACAGAGCCAGAAATAAACTTTCCCAGCTCTCTACATCAACAATATGAAGTGAGAAAAATCTACAGCTGCTTCTGAACTGTTGCAAAACCTTTGTGTGGAGGTTCCCACTGTGAAACTGTATTGTGGGACTGATGAGAAACCAGTTTCCATACACATGTAGGGAATTTGTTCCTATATTTCAGATGCAAGCAACTGTTTCAGGGCCCAGCTACCTATAAATGGTAACTTTCAAAGTTACTGATTTTGTATTTTACTTTTTTTTTTTAATAGAAATTATGGCAGGAGAATGAAGAGTTGAGGGCACGCCTCCCTGAAAGAGGCAGTTCATCTGCTGGAATCCTATCCCCATCACCACCTAATTCAGTCCTCCTGTCTGGAAATCCATATTCTGGTGAGTGAGTTAGGAGGTTCAAACTAGCAGCAAAAGTATGTTAATTGATATCTCAATGCTCAGTTGTTTAAAAGCACATAACTATAGCCATAGTTCCAGATTTTGTGGTTAGAAAGTGCTACTTCTGCTTGTAGGATTACAGAAATAAACAAATTGCTGTAGTGTTTTCAACAATATTCTCATAGCGCTTTGGGGAGGGGGTTAAATAGCAGAAAAGTGATGGAAAGAATGGAGAGGCTGATTGATTGAATGGCATGTTAATGCTTGGATAATATTATCACACAACAGTGATCACAGGTGTTTTTATTTGTCTATAACTCCACAAATGGGAGCTAATTGCATTCCCTCAGGAGGAAATACAGTGGGGCAAAAAAGTATTTAGTCAGCCACCAATTGTGCAAGTTCGACTGAATCTGCAATAGGGAAGCAGCTTGGTGTGAAGAAATCAACTGTGGGAGCAATAATTAGAAAATGGAAGACATACAAGACCACTGATAATCTCCCTCGATCTGGGGCTCCATGCAAGATCTCACCCTGTGGGGTCAAAATGATCACAAGAACGGTGAGCAAAAATCCCAGAACCACATGGGGGGACCTAGTGAATGACCTGCAGAGAGTAATCTCCCTCGATCTGGGGCTCCATGCAAGATCTCACCCTGTGGGGTCAAAATGATCACAAGAACGGTGAGCAAAAATCCCAGAACCACATGGGGGGACCTAGTGAATGACCTGCAGAGAGTAATCTCCCTCGATCTGGGGCTCCATGCAAGATCTCACCCTGTGGGGTCAAAATGATCACAAGAACGGTGAGCAAAAATCCCAGAACCACATGGGGGGACCTAGTGAATGACCTGCAGAGAGTAATCTCCCTCGATCTGGGGCTCCATGCAAGATCTCACCCTGTGGGGTCAAAATGATCACAAGAACGGTGAGCAAAAATCCCAGAACCACATGGGGGGACCTAGTGAATGACCTGCAGAGAGTAATCTCCCTCGATCTGGGGCTCCATGCAAGATCTCACCCTGTGGGGTCAAAATGATCACAAGAACGGTGAGCAAAAATCCCAGAACCACATGGGGGGACCTAGTGAATGACCTGCAGAGAGGACTGAATCTGCAATAGGGAAGCAGCTTGGTGTGAAGAAATCAACTGTGGGAGCAATAATTAGAAAATGGAAGACATACAAGACCACTGATAATCTCCCTCGGAGCCAGACATCTTGCTTGTTTGTAGGTGACCAAATACTTATTTTCCACCATGATTTGCAAATAAATTCTTTAAAAATCAGACAATGTGATTTTCTGGATTTTTTCCCCCATTTTGTCTCTCATAGTTGAGGTATACCTATGATGAAAAGTACAGGCCTCTCTCATCTTTTTAAGTGGGAGAACTTGCACAATTGGTGGCTAACTAAATACTTCTTTGCCCCACTGTAGCATTATTAGGTTATCAGCCTAACAAAGCCCCTTTCCAGCATATGCATGTTTCACCAGATATACCTGTTTTGATATGCTATTTTTTTCACTGAGAAATATTTTAAGACTGGTACTGGCAGGTTCTATGAGTCGTGTGCCCAAATAAGATGCAACAGATTATGTGTTGGCAGATTTTACAAATATACTGTTCAGATATAGATTCTAATTGATTTCTGCCACCACTGTTCACTACCACCATGCAGTATTTTAAAGGGTTACTGATGCTATATATTAACTAATGTCAAAGTGTTTTATTTTTCTTGCTATGGTTTGTCTTACAGCATCGCCAAAGATTCTCGAGACGAACCTGGTGAGTTTTCTCTTTTAATGTCTTTATTATTTAGCACAATACAAAAACATTGAAATCACACAATAAAGACAGCACTGCAGTGAAGTCAGGGACAACAAGGAGAGGATGTGTGATTGTTAAAGCTACAAATATTTAGGCTTGGTTACAATCACTATCCTTCTGTAATGGCTCTTCGGTGCCTTAAACCAGCATTGTTTGGGATTGAGGGAAAGGCAGATTAGTGCTTTGGGGCCCTTAGTTCCTTAATATTTTGCACTTGTTGCTTTGAAGTATCCATCTCCTTTTCCTCTGCTAGCTGCACTTCCACTTCATCACTTGTCAGAATGATACAAAACCAAAGATCACCCATTTCCTATAACAGAAATCTGTATTGTATAAAAATTTGGACATTTTTGCTGCGTTCTTTTCTCTTCAGGTCTCCATGAAAAAATGTCCCATGTGCCAGGAAGTCTTCCCTAATGACATTGGAGAACAACAGTATTTGGATCATGTGCAAGATCACATTCTTGACTGTCCATTTTGCGATAAAACCTTTGACAGCTCCAACAAGCAAGTGTATGATGATCATGTCTTTTGCCATCGTTTAGACCAAGCTTAAGCCTGCTTGCACCACCTAAGCTACTACACTAATGCCTTTTTCTTTCTTTCCTTTTTTCCATTTCTTTCCTTTGTATGATCTGGCAGGGATAGACACTTGATATACTAAACTTGACATAACAGGCTGAAACTTGCTGTTGGGCCTGCAGTACTGATCACTTTAATTTCTTCTGATAACATATCTGTTAAATGTGCACTGTACTTCTGCTTTAGAAGCAAGATTTTCCATATTTAAATCTTATAGGATATTTAAAAATAAGATGCTGTTTTCCTCCACCCTAAACCTTCCATTAATAACAAATCATGTTTGTAAAGGAAGCTAGAGATTTCTAGCCATATTTATAGTGAAGAATAGAAATTCTATCTTTGTTTGCTTTGTATCTATTTTATGCTAAAAGAAAGATAATTGTGAAGCAAACAGCAAGTATAGTAACAGCCCTATCAGGATCTACCTTTGTATTGTTTAGTTGTAAGATTTAAATCTATGGTATCCATTAGGGTTGTGCAGTGCTTCACATTCAAAAGCAAAATGGTGTTGTAGAAAATATGAGGACACATGTAGCACTGTCTGCAATTCTTCAGCTGCAGAGAATGGCCATGTGATCCCAGGAAAAGAAATAGTATTTAGGATTTGCAAACATGCACTTTGTAAGCATCAGATCCTGCCCAGAGTCGCTGGGAGTCAGGTGGCGTATACGTTTAATAATTATTATTCTCTCTCTGCACTCCGAAGCACCCTTTTTTCTTGGAATTCAAAGCCCTGCTATTATCACATCTTGCAGCAGCAACAAAAAGCCTTTGTTATGAACTGTGAGGGAGGATAATTTAAAACCTCACTGGCAGGCTCCTTTTTCCAAATGTTCCTCAGTAAATGATAATTATAATAGGCTGCTGCCAATCAGACTGAATGTCCTGACACATACTCAGCTGTTTAATTAGGGAGTTTTTGGCCCTCAAGAATACTCTTCCTTCAATCCATTTTTAGGAAAACACATGCTTTGGATCTTCCAGCCCAAAACTCAGATATAACCTTGTGTTTTGCATGTGGGAAGGGTTTAATGAGAAAGTCTTTTAAACTGATGATGCCAAATTTCAGGATATAAGGAAGAGTTCACTACTGTGAATAGTTGGAAAGATCATTTGGGAATAATAATGGGATGCTGTTAAGCAGGCCTTCCTTGCTTCTGTGTTTTGTTTGAGCATTATCTTCAGTTTTATAGAATGTGGAGGATAACTGAGAAGCAGCCGTTTAGGCATAGCAACAGTTGTTCTTCCCATAAAAAATGTTCCATGTCTGTTGTCAGGGAGTTAGCTAACTAATATATCAGAAAATGATCTGAAGGCTGAACCCAATTTCTTAATGATACTGTCACTGATCAAGGTATTAACAAGTTTTCACCAGTCCTGTCACTGTATGGAAAGGATTAAGCAAAAAAAAAAAAAAAAAAGGCTTTTTTTGGAAACAAAAGATTAATACTTTTCAAGACTTGCAGCGTAGAGTCAATTTATTGGATGCTTTAGATTGCACTGTAGTGTCATACCTCCAAAAATAAGAAGTTGTCACAATCTTATAACCGGGATCCCTCTGTTAGGTGCTGAAATGTGCCGCTTTGTTGAAATTTCTCTAAATATATGGCTGCACTGTCAAAAAGCCATGTTCATTATATAATCAGGATTACGGTACAAGAAAGAACACGTGTTTTTCTTGAAACATATTTTTCTTGAAATACAAGAAAAACCACTATTTTACCTTTCCGTTTCTGTGATATTGACTGTGCACTTTTTCCTGTATAGGACTGAATGCTGTAATAAGAGATCAGCTGTTTACCGACAGATTTTATACCATGTATTAGCTAGCTACATGGTTAATACTATATGTAGCAGAATCTATTTTAGTAGCATTTTTCTCTTCCATGTTTGTCTCTTTAAAAAATCTTGGTGAAAATGTTTTCTAGTGCAGAAAACGTAAAATTGTAATGATGGACTACTTACAGATATTTAATAAATTTTGGTTTATCTTTTTCAAGCACTTATTGATTACTTATTGAAAATATATCAAATTCTTTTCAGAATGGAAATGCATATGTATCTGGTGAATCCTGTAAGGGTGTGGTGAATTTTAGGTATTTACAGTTATGTAGTGAATTCTAAATATTTGCTTTCTAGTAGAGAAGTTAGTCTTTGGAAATGATTCTAAACTGAGACCATTTTATCACCTTAATGTGTCAAATCAGATAATTAAGCATAGCAGAAAAAACAGGTTTAGGCTATTTTCCAGAGCTAGATTCCAGTTTGCACTCAGGAATCAATAAAAGACCCTGTCTTATCAGTTGTAAAAGTAGCTTCATCCTCTATATTTCTGTTTGTATTATGTGGCATCTGTTTCTTTTGAAGAAGCTCTGTAGCTGCCTTGCAAGTTTATTTTGGCCCTCTTTACACTTGGCTCACTGTTTTTACCAAAATAAAATGATTGTCTGGATGCTCTCCAATTGTTGGTCTTCCTTGGTGAGATTTCTACCACAGGAGCTGCATAAAGATTGTAACAGATGTGCTATATAAGGCTGCTTTATGATGTTTTGCTGCCTGAAGTAATGCCCAAGACTTTATTTCCCTTGTTTCACATACAGAAGCTGAATGGATTCGCAGTTGAATCTTTCCTGAGTGGTGCACAGATGTAAAGTGGTGCACTATGCACAGTGGTGCACAAATGTAAAGCAGTAGACCAGCTGCCCGACACACCCAGCTCCAATTTTTAGCAGCTGGCCACTGCTCCCTAGTTCCAGGGTCTGTCTACTGATAGAGCCAACACTGCGGCATCCTGTTAGAAAACCATACCATGGTTTTAGGGATGGAGAAGGATGTAGATGAAAAAGAGGCAGTTGAGTATTCTGAAAGCTAGAAGATTGTATTTCTCAGTTCTTTCAGTGTAAACTGGGTAAATTTAACAGCTTTATTAAGTTGGTTTGTTACTACTGTAATTCAGTCTGTGAAACTCTGTAGCTATTAATGTGTTTCATGCTGTGTTTCAACTGTGTAAAGAAGAGCGCTAATACTGTAAGCAAGAGGTTCTTTAAAATGATAATTATTCCAATGTTATTTCTTTCACATTTAATTTTCTATTAAAACTAAGAATATTTTTTAGAATATCAGAAATGACAAAATATAGTCTCTTCTTTTTCAAAGATAAAAATATAATTATTTGAAATGAAGAAGAAAGGGTACAAAGCAATTTTAAACCTAGGCAAGTTTTAAGATATTTGCAATGATTTCCCCCTGCCCCCACAGGGTCAGGTTAATGGCAATGGCACTTTTTCAACAAAAAATCAGGATAGTTCTGAGGTTTTATAACAATTTAAAAAATACAATATAATGCAAGTTAAGGCAGAAAAGGTCTGTTTTAACAGGAATGAAATACTAGCACATATTTACCAATGTGAGACCACATCTGTGAAATAATTTGACTTCAAGAGGACTGATGGCTATTGTTCCATTCCAACTAAATTCTCTATGTTAAAACTGTATATCCCAATATACACAAGTCTAATAATTGAATTATTCTATAAATCATTACTGAAAGAACAGGAAAACAGAGAAAAGAGAAAATGTGTTCCACCATTTTTGTGCTGATTAGTTAGAGGAATGAAAAGTGAGAGCTTCATGAGGTATGCAGATTATTGCTGCTTATTTGGTACTGAACTTAGACCAGTAGATGTTAGCAAGTCTCTGAACTTGTGCAGGTACACAATGAAGGTGGTGCCACTTCAGAGCAGGATGTTTAGAAAACCTTAGGAGCATGCTGTAAGTGAATTTTATTTCCAGATATAAAATTAGTTGATTCTTACAGTCTCTATATATCTACCCAGAAATAAGCTGCATTGAGTTTAGTCGGACTTCGATACTTATCTTGAGGTATTTTACTCAGGCTATCAGAAATGGAATATCAAATCATTTCATGCAGAATTTAAATTCTCTGGTGTAGCCAATCTGAGTGAAAACAAACAAAACCCAGAAAGGAGCATTCAGAGAATGAAGAAGGCAGCACCCGAGAGGGGTTTTGCTGGCAGTTGAAGAGTAAACATCACTGTGAGACTTTCTTCACTATTGAATTAAAGTGCTCTCCACCATCTTAGAATCCTAACCAATGCCAGCATAACATTTGTTGCCCCATTGCCAATCCCTACCTTGCCTCTGTTCAGAGTGACTGCCTAATAAAGCTGTCTTGATTTGTTAGCATGTCAGTTGGTATAGGCAGGAGTCTAGTAATGTAGCACTTCTTTTGATTTAACAAATTTTATTAAAAGATAGAAGTTTTCATGGGATGCAACTCACTTTATCTTTCATCTTTTATGAGTTTAATCTCATTTCATTTAGCTAACTGCAGCTCATGAAAGCTTATGCCTTTTAATAAAATGTTAGTTGGAAAAGGTGCTTTAAGACTCCTGTTTTTTTGCCACCATTGACTAATAGAACTCTTCTCCTAAAATTATTACAGGTAAGATAATCTGTTTTTCTTCTCTAAGATTTGCTACTGTTCCCTTTCAGCAAATGACCAGCCAGAGGGAGTTGGGAACATACAAACACACCCAAAAAATCACGGCACTGAGACAGGATTGCAGAAGGTTTGATTTTAGGACTCAACCTGTCTTTTCTTTCCTACTTTATCTATCCTTCTCCCCACATCTCATTTGGGCCTTTTCCAAGCTACAATGATGTGATATATGGGAATATACATAATTAACTTTCTGGGGAACACCAGATATAAATAGTTTCTTCCAGAGAAAGGCAGATCCTGCCATTATTGTGCAACTAGCTGAACCACTGGTTCCCAAACTCTGAGCTGGGGGTCCCCAGAGTTATTGCCAAGAGGTCTATAATATGTATCAAACAAGGAGAACAAAACAAGCCACATGGTTCTGCTGGCACAGACACTTCACTGTTTGAAGTGAGGTATAGGGAAGATAAATACTAAAATGTCTTAGGGGGTAGATTAGCAACTGATTTAGACTGGTTCCTTTCTTCCTGCTGGCTAAGAGTAGTTTTTCCAGCCTAGTTGCAATCATGAACTGCCCATAATTTTTTTTGTCCTATTACCAACAACATACAGTAACTATCACCTCTGATCTCTGTGTTCCATTGTTTTGCATTCCCTGCCCCAAGAGCTACCATTACCCCACCATTACCCATCCCACATGTCACAATCCCCTCTTCTGTTTTTCTCCTTCCATAAGCTGAGACACACACACACACACCTTAGCCCCTGGGCCATACCAATGGCTTCCTTTAAGTCTCATTGGAGCCCCAACCTCACCAATACCCACCTCCACCAAAATATTTCCTTTTGTAGACTGAGGAAACTCTTTCATGTATATATAATACTTCTATTTCAATTACAATGTATTTAATAAAATTACATTTACAGCATTATTCATTGTTATTAAATTCATACTAGGTTTACATTATTTTTTTATTTCAGTCAACAGATACTGAAAGTACTGCTAGTATCATCTGGGGTCCCACAAATGTTTAGACATTAAAAAGGGTTCTTCATACAATTTGGGGAACCATTGAGCTAGATTATGGAGCTGAAGAAGTAAAAACTAAAATTATACTGAAAGTTTTTGTCCCTACACACCCACACACAAATGTGGTATAGTGGTGAAGGTGCTAGACTAGGAAGAGAGGGACACAGGTTTTGGTCCATCCTCCACAACAAAATCTCCCTGAGGGATCTGGAACCAGTCACTCTCAGCCTAATTTTACCACAGGGATTTTCTGGGGAAAAATTGGAGGAGGGCCACTATGTATGTCACTTTGAGCTCCTAAATGAAAGGCAGATATAAATCTAAAGTTTCTATGATAAATATGTTTAGCAATGTTTCTGTAGTCAAGGTGATAGAGCACAAATTGTGATCTTCCAGATTTACTGAACTACATCTAGCATATCTGAAGTTGTGCTGTCTGTTGCTGTTGGCAGATGTCCTTCAAAAGATCTGGAGAGCTACCCAATGAGGAAGTCTCATTGAACTCACACAGCTTGCTAAGCCATTATTTGCCAACCCCTGCAGCAACTCAAACTTATATCAGTGTGTGCCCACAGGCACTGAATCACCCACAACATTCCCAAAGAATGCCTAGGACCTTCCCCATCCATCATTTAAAATGCAGTTTTAAAAAATGCCTGAAAACTCATAAATTGTCAAATTTTGCACAATTTCAATATTCCTACCTGAAATCTCAAAAGTGTAAGAGAACATTAATCACTTGATATTTTGTCTGAGATTGCTGAGATATGGGGCATTTTAAAAATGATTTATTATTTTATAACCTGCCACCACACAAAAACCACAGAGCAGCAGCAGATTGCCAGCCTTCAATCTACAGCAGCTGTGGATCCTAGCATGTTAGGACGTGTCATATACCACTGTCCCCACCAAAGGGAATAACAATACTAGATTACCTACAGGACTAGCATGGCTAGCAGTCTCTGAGCTACTATCCTAGTTTTTGTAACAGGTATAACAGTGATGGGCTGTATCCCCATGCATTGGCAGAGTAACTTAGTTTAGAAACTCAGAAAGTAACTTAAAAATAAAACCTGACTTAGAAATATTAACCTCCTGTCCTTGCTCCCATCTAGTATATTGGTATTTAATTACAGTTATACATAATCCTGGGTTTCTGAATTATTTTAATGAGGCAACAATTACTTTTCACTATGGAATAGGGTTTTTTAAAAAAAAGATAATCTCCTTTTCAGACAATGGCTGAGTTCACATACCTTTAATTTGGTTACTAAAACCATAGCACATTGAACCATAAATTAACTAAACAGGCTGGGATTCACACAACAGACTAAATCACACCAAGGAGCCATGGTTCATATGCAAGAATGCAATCATTAGAACTTTAACTGATCAGGCTAAGTGTGTTGTGTAAACAACCAGTATGTGTATCAATCATTGCAAGCAGAGTTCATTCACTGGCCGCAAAAAAACCCCCTTTGCTCTAAGTGTGCAGAACAGAGACATGCTTTCCTTTTAGTTTCCAGAAACTCTTGCTACCCCTTGTGGATGCCATTTGTGTAAAATAAGAAAAATGCACCATCATAGAGAAGTAGTTATATCTGTTGTACCAAAATCATTGTATTTTCTTGGGATATCTTTATTTATTGACATAAGTCAGCATTCTAGAATCATTAAATAAAAAGTGGTGGCTCAAAATGAGCAGCTACCATCTTTGCTTATTTCTTTGGTGGATCTCTTTCACATAAATGTCTACCCATCTGACTGAAACAGGGAAATAAAATGTGTTCTTACAGAAATGTATTGTGTTGTTAGAGCAAACATGAAATTAAAGTTTGATCTGGGAAAAGGAGTTGGGTTAGGCAACTAACTAAATTGATCACTGTTCCCTTTTGCATCTAGAGAGTAGGCAAGCACAAGATTAAGTATAAAGAAATTACATTTCAGCTCATCTTGTCTTGTGGCAGCTATTCTACATGAATGTTTGCCTGTTTTGGCAGAAGCAAGGAAAATGTGTTCCCAAATGCAAGTGCTCTTTCAAAAAACTGATCTGTTACTAGCTCATGCCGAATTCAAACAAATTCATTTGAACTGTATTAATAAGTTGCCTTATAAAAGCTTGCACGTTCATTAATCAAAAAAGCTTGGATAATAGGTGATATTAAATGCTCCCAATTTCTACTTATGCTTCAAAAAACACCAGGAAATTGGTGTGTAGTGTAAGCATAGATGTTTGCAGGAGGTACAAGGAGAGACAAGCAATGAAATACACAGCATGATGCCCTTAAATACTTGTGTCAGATGTCAGGATAGCGTGTGCATCATAACATCACTGCATGTCTATCATTTTGATGCAATCTCAATTTGCTGCAGATGCCTATAAATATAAGGTATGTATTTTAGCATTTATGTAAAGTAAGTTGCAAAAACGTGATCCCCTCCCATGCTATGATGATGTTACCAGTCACCATCTGCCTACTCACACTTGGCCTTACACTTTCAGGCTAACTTTGGAACTTTAGAGCAACATGCCCAGGCAGACATTCAACAAATGTAGTTTCCCCATCACTTAATACAAGAATGTATCCCGGATGCATCTCTACATGGAATGCTTCCCCCAAATTCTATCTACAGAAGAAATTCATCAGAAATAAATGCAACAATTCTAACAATACACAGACACTTCCTATACATGTAACAGATTTCTGTCTAATGCTCTGTGACTTTAAAACTGGAATAGTATGCGCTACAATGCAAGTATAAAAACAAGATTAAAGACCTTTATAGTTGATCACTAATGCCTTACACCTGAACCCTTTCTCCATAATTTACTAGAACATAATGATTACTGAATATAATATACTATTTCAGACTCTGGTGCTTTCTTTTGTTACCATTGTTTTGAGGAAGAATCAGGAATGAGGCTACTGAACCTCTTGGATATAAAAGGTTGGGGGAAAAAAATATGCAACCTAGTGAAAGATGATACAGAGTGAGTGGGGTTTCTTTGCTGAAATGGTTCTACCATAGTCAGTGTTCAGCCAGCACTGTCTTTTTTTAAAAAATGCATACTGTTTATTAGGGCTGTGCACACTTCAAAAATGTTCCGGAGGAAGCCTTTGGACCTTGCACAAATGCAGCACCTCACTTCTACTAATCAATCAATTTTCTCAGGTTTCCATGTAAGCTTGAAAAAAAGATGCTGATCCTCTAAGGAACCCATTAGGTAATGCAACTCTTAAAGCAATGATACTTTTTTTCAAGCTCACATAGAAGCCTAAAAAGGGGGGGGGCTACTTTAAAAAATAGCAGGGAGGTTAATAAATTTTATTAACCAGAATAAAATAATCCCCCCCATTCAAGATAATCAGCATCTTTCAAGAACTCATGAGCTAAGAGAGGTGAGATTCCTAAGACCAAAGGAGCATGAAATAGGAGATAAGCTTTTTTTTTTCCACAAAAGAAACTAAACCTGGTAGCACTGTTCTTGGAATGCTCCAGTGCTTAAGAAAAGTGGGGAATGAATAGTACATTTGATCCAAACTCTGAAGAAGAAATACCAATTTTAATAAGCAATTTCTTTATCATTACATAAGTTATTTTTATATGACATGAAGCAAGGCATGGAATTTCTTAATACAACTAGAATTATCAGCAATACAGCAGAAGAATTAACATATATTACTGATTCAAAATAAAACTGGCATCTGATAACTAAAGATCCAATGTTAATACTTGAGGTCTGATTTATTCAAGTCTTGGGATTCTCAACTTGGTCTAGTACGAAGATGAAGACGGCAAACTCCATTTTTTAAAAGTCTGTATCTAGTCCAATAGGGCTTTGTAGCCTGTTCTATGTTCAAAAAGCAGTCCCAATGTTAGAAAATTGTTTTTTCATATGGTCCATACAGAGAAGCAGGAATGAATAGGATCCAAGCAGCCTTCTACAAATATCTGCAGCAAATAGGAAAGAGTTAAGCAGAATACCTTGTGTTCTCCATCAAAGACTGAAGCCTTCATGTATTGAACTCAGATGTTCCCTCTAGCTTTGCGATACATCTTGACCATCTCTGATAACTTCTCCATAGCCTCAGGGATCCCCTCTCCACTCTGAGCAGAGCAACCCTGAACATGCCATTTGTGTCCTGATAATTTCCTCAGTCCCATCTTTTCTGCCACTTCTGTGGGAGGCCATGCTCCAGGTAAATCTTGTTTGTTGGCTAGCAGCACCAAAGGCACCCCTCGCAAATCTTCACTATCCAGTAATGCCTCCAACTCCAACCTGGCTTCTTCAAAACGATAACAGTCCACGCTGTCCACCATGAAGATCAATCCATCTGTGTTGGTATGGTAGTATTTCCATAGGGCCCTGATGCGCTGTTGTCCACCAACATCCCACATGGTGAAAGTGACGTTGTTGAAGGGTTGCACTGTCTCCACATTGAAGCCCACAGTGGGGATGGTTGAAATTGTTTCATTCAACTTCAGCTTATAGAGAAGAGTTGTTTTGCCAGCTGCATCCAGACCCAGAAGGAGAATACGAGCCTCTATCCCATAGAAACTCTGCAAAGCATTGTAAATCCGACTGAGTAAAAGCCCCATGGCTAGTTTAAGCGTAGACAGAGTGTAGAACGGAAAGGAAACGTTTTCAATCTTATACTCAGCCAACCTTTATTTCATTGGCTGAACTCTAGGGGGAGTGGTATGGAAATTCCTATTATAGTACTGTCTTGTTGGTATCTGACATGCTGGAAGTTTTGTTGGCTAGCTATTTGACGCAACAGTTTGCTGGTGGTTAAAGCCCAGCCAAGTTATGACATTACTGTATGAATTGTTGTTTAGACTTTATCAACAAAAATGCTTCATTGTGATTGTTAAGATGCATTGGGGAAATATTTGGCAATTTGATACTCTTCACAATTTTTCACTACTAATACCTATACTCACAGAGAGACATTTTATGGCATATTATTGTTATCTGAGGGGTGGGAGTTCTATTTGGTGAGATTTCTTTCTTTCTAAAGATTTTTTTTATACTTTTGCAAACTTTGTTCTCTAAAGACCAGTGTCATATTTCTCTTTTCCATATGAATGAAGCTATTTTGGCTTCATAAGGAAAAGTACTAGGAAACTGATACAATAGCTTATCTAATATAGAGGCAAAATTCACAATGTAGCAATGTAAATAAAATATGTTTTAGAACAAATTTAAATTGTGCTGTATTATATTTTAAAATATTGGTTATATCAATAGTGCAATATTCCTATTTAGAATTAAATCTGAATTTCAATTAGATTTACTTCCAGGTAAGTTCGTATAGTAAATATCTCTTTTCTAAAATAGTATCTTTTAAAAAATAATAACCTGCTGTAATTGAGATTTTAAAACAAGTTGGTGGTGGGGAGTTTGTCCAATATGTGACAGTGCCACAGTTTCCCAGTTCAGTCAGATAGAAGCAGAGATAGGCAATATGTAGGTCTACAAATATTGTTGGTCCATCAGCTCTAACTTATCATGGTCAAAGGGAAAAGCTGATGGGAATTGAGGCATTTCACTGGTCACTGCTCATAACAGGATACAGTTTCTATTAACAAACCTATTAAGGGCTTCCTGTTTCTAAAGGTACCATATATTCCCTGAAATTATCTGTGAATGTTTTTCTAAACCTCCCACGCTTTTGTTGAGGAGGCCTAACTTCATTTTGAAGGGTAGGATCTATTTAAAACACACACACAAACTAATGTCTGTGGGATTTTCATTGTGGAATTGACTCGATGCATTATAATTTGGTAGTGAGTATTACAGTGCTAAGCTTGAGTTTTAAAAAATTATGGCAAATTAAGCAGAAAACAGGTGAAAATGAGAACATTTATTCAAGGCATTTAAATCACAATGCTAATTCTTGACATCTCCCAAGCATGTGTCCTTAGCAATAATTGGTCTGATGCTAAGAACTATTCAGTTGCTCATTTCCATGCATAATAAGAACAATTAGCACGCCTGTTGTGTGGTGTCATGGACAGTGGAGAAAAAAAAATTTACTGAGCACATGCATCCCAATTCCTAGCTTTCAAAGGCTTTAAGGATACCAGGATTTGGTTTGTTAGAATGTTTAGCAAAGGTAACAGCATTTTACAATGGGAGGAGTAGAAACACCATCTGTTTTTTCTTCTATTACCAAAGATAGTATCATGAGGACATGATAGCGCCTGTAGAGCTACCAAACTGGGCTGCAAAACTCTAGTCCACCACTATGCAAATTAGCATTTTCTGAGCAATGTCGCTGTCATTGTCATGGCTGGCTGGGGAATTGTGGGAGTTGAAGTCCACACATCTTAAAGATTCCAAGGTTGAGAAACACTGGTCTGGACATTTCCAGCCTAGATCTCATAAACCTATCACTAGTGAAGCAGAAATGCTTTCTCATCCATTACACGTCATCAAAGGTTTTAAGTCCTGGGTGCACTGTAAATTTCTGCAGTTGTGCCTTGTACACCTTCCCTCATTTCCATCACACTTTACTCCATGTGGAGCATGCCTCTACAACAAGTAGCAGACAATATAATTAGTAGGACACAGAGCAATATGGGTGGGAAGAGACTTGAGAGGGTCTTAGATATTGAAACAGCAATGGGAAAACT